CCAATTTGTTCCACATGGATTGGCAGCACTGCAGGGCCGGGGTATGGGGGTGGTCTGGAACCCCAAGAACGTGCCTTCCCTAAAGCCACCATCACTGGGGACTACTGATGCCCAAAACTAGACAAGAAAATAAAACTATAGTTGACTCAGCTACAGAGCAGGTATCTGTTTATTCAGTGCTGGAAGTGAGGAGAATCTCTCTGCCAAAAACTCATCCAATCTCTTTTAGCCTTCAGTTACATTTTAAATGTTCTTCCTTGCAACGTCTTGTTTACAACTTATTATTAGCATACTCATATTTGCATAAAGCTGTCATGGTTTTATAGCAGTTTGTTGCTTTCATGCATGCGTCATTCTTCTTGTGAAAAAAAAAGGTTCACTCTTTAAAATTTTAAAAAATTTTAAAAGGGCTAAGAGGGACAGTAAACAGTGCTGGGTGCTTGGAAAAGTGCTAGAGGCATGCAAGTTAGTATAAAACAATTTTCTTATGTAGCTTTTCATTTCATTGGTTAAACGTATACTCAAGACAATCATACATATTCAAACATTCTTTTGAGTTTACATTTTCTGGGAATTCCTTTGCTTGGTTCAACTCTTCACCCATCTTCTTAAAGTACATGCCATACCACAGATGAAATTTGTATCTTTTATGTCCTCACAAGGCCCTCCATTCTGTGTTTTGATAGTTCTTCATAACGGGAAGGTCAATGATAAATTCCTCTTTGCATTCTTCCTTTCAATGTTTATTTTCCTGGTTCTTCTCAATGTTATCTTATCATACAGATAAGTACACAAGTACATGAAATCAACATTAACTGAGTTATTCTATTGTAGTTTAGTTACACAAATAAAGGCACAAATAAAAACAACAGTAGTAGTACATACTCTGTATTTTGATATTTTGCGAGATTCTAAACTATAATATTGTCCTGGGGTACAATGCAAAATGTGTATTCTATCACCATCTGTTGAAATGTAGGAGGGGTGGTGATCCTTATCTCTATGGGAGATATCCTCTGCTGATGTGCCATCTGATAAGATCGGGGGATGATCATCTTATCTTTTCACAACCCATCCTTCCTCCAGAAGATATATTCCATTAATGGGCGATTAAGTCCTATTGTGTGACTGATAAGATTACATCATCCCATTGGGAGATGCCCCAACCAGGGGCAGGAGCCAAGCCTTTCCTACCTAGATAAAAAACTGGGGTTTGGGACGTGAAGGCAGACCTTTCCACTGGATCTCAGAGGAAAGTCGGATCATTTCCACATCGTCGCTGGATCTTCGGAGGAAAACTGCACCTTCTACAGGAGCACTGCTTCAACGGAACCACATCTGTCATCCAGGAGGACTGCAGCCACCATTTATACGGACTGCTACCAACACCCTGACTGACAGGGTGTCAGGTTGTATTTCTGACTTTGTCGGTGGTTTTTTTTCTTTTGTATTATTGCATGTATTTTATTTTTTCTCTCTTTTCCTATTAAATTGTATTACTGACTTGGAGTCTCACACTGGTTTTACTTTCAAACTAATACAAATATGTTAATCACACTATATAATTGTGGTTTCTGCGCTGCAAAGAGAGAGAAAAGACAACACACATGGACCTCTTTTGGGGGAAAAGGCCGACTTTATTGTACAGACATCCCGTATTTAAAGTGTGTTACGTGCAGCTAGGACAGGACTGTAGTTCATTGGACAATTGGGACAAACATCTCTTGGGACAGCATGTCCGGATGTCCCATGGGAAAGACAGCAGGCGTTAATCTTTGTTATGAATTCCCTTCTGTTTTTCACCAAGTTATCACTCTGGGAGACTGCCTCCCTTAACTGAAGCTGTAATCAGCTTGTCAGCCTGGGAATGGACCTGAGAGACAGGAGAAATCCAGGCCTGAAAGGAATTGCCAAGCTGTAATTTCCTAGCTCTCTAAACGTGTGTGTCCACAGGTCCCCCTTTTACTTTAAAACAAAAAAGGAGAGAAGTGTTTGTAATCTCTTTGCAGGGCCCTTTTCAAAGGAGAACAAACGTGACTCAAAAGACCTGAAAAACATTCCCAGGAGGAAGGAGTCTTTGAACCTGGTGTTTTTCCCTTACAGAATCCTATCCAAAGACAAAAAGGAAAAAAAACTATTAACATTATTCTAAATAGTTCTGAACATATTTAATAGTATTTCAATTGGTTTTAAAAAACAGTTCCACTACGAGCAGATAGGTGTTCATCTTCTGCTTGTAGAGGGGCCATCACTCTGGTGGTTGGCCTGCTGGTCAGCATTTGAAGGCTGTGCATTGGCCACATTCTGTCTCGGACATTGCAGGTCAGGGCAGACACATCTCACAGGCAGCCAGCGTACCAGTATCTGTTGAGACGCAAGCATACCTGCGACCCCAGACAATAAGGTCATGCAGGCCCTCCCACCTATTCATGGTCAGGTCCCGTATAAAGACCTTTGCTCGAGGTATTCATCTCTCATCCAAGGCCTGTAACGACGAGAAATTATTCACAATAACAGGATTATCGGAATCTTTTGGCACAGTAGGATGATTGATGGTGTATAAAGCTTTTTCTAATCGGCTGTGTGGTGCTACCCCAGCCATTCCCCTTTTCTGTTTATCTAGAACACATTTTAAGGTGCCATGAGCACGTTTGACAATGGCTTGGCCTGTCGGAGAATGTGGAGTGCCAAAATTATGTGAGACTCCCCACATTTGCAAAAACTGCCTTGCCTTTTGGGAGACGTAAGCAGAGCCATTGTCAGTTTTCACTGCAGAAGGTATGCCCAAGATTGCAAAAGCCATTCTCCAATGGGCAATCACATCTCGACCCTTTTCCCCTGTATGAGCAGATGCCCAAATGGCTGAAGAAAAGGTGTCAATAGAGACGTGCACATACTTCAACCTGCCAAATCCAGCAATGTGAGTGACGTCTGTCTGCCAAAGCTGCAGGGCTTTAAGACCCCTGGGGTTTACCCCCGATGGTAAAGGAGCAGCCAGGCCATGATAGTCATCACAAGAGGCGACAATGTCACGAGCCTCAGTGGCTGTTAGATGGAATTGTTTTTGCAGAGTAGGTGCGTTCTGATGGAAAAACTCATGTGATACTTGCGCTTGTGCAATCTTATCAGGCTGAGGTGCCACCCAGGCTGGGTTAGCCAACCTATCAGCCCTGGCATTACCTTCTGTCAGAAACCCTGGCAAGTCCGTGTGGCTCCGTATGTGCAGAACATAATATGGATGAGCTCGGGCTTGGATTGAGCACCACAAGGTCTTCAAGAGCTGAAACAGGACGGCGTTGTCAACCTCTTTCAGGAGCGAGCAAGCCAAACGCTGAGCTATATCTGCAACATACGCAGAGTCAGTGACCAAATTCAAAGGTACCTGTGAAAACCGTTGGAATGCCCTAGTGACAGCCTTCAATTCAATGATCTGACCTTCCAACGTTTGCCAGCCAGAGTCATCCTCTTAGGTAACAATGGCTTTACCTGTTTTGCCTGACCCATCAGTGAAGACAATAGGACCTTGCACTGGCACCCGACTATATTCGGGTCTTAATGACAGTTTAACTGTCTTTGCCATATGCAGTAGCTTATGGCTGGGGAGATGATAAACAATCTGCCCCTTAAAATTTTGCAGCGCACTTTGCAAGGGGACACTATTAATAAAAGCCCCTTCAAAAACGTCTTGCTCCACAGGGAGCACAAGTATAGCGGGGTCTGCTGCCATCAATTGCACGTGTCGTTGACGGCATTTCAGTAACAGTCAGGCAATTAATTCGAATACTGTATTTACCGTCTTTTTCAGCTGATGCGGCAGAAAGACCCATTCCAAAACGTGCAAGGGATAAGGCCAGGTCTACTCGGCATACTTGACGGGTAGACAGAGCATGCTGCACCTGCTGCAGTGCTCGCCGTCCCTCAGGGGTTAATGTTCGGGGGAATCCAAGCAAGGATTCCCCTTCAGGATACTGAAGAGTGGGGACAATTGCTTGGTGGTCAGTCCTAAATAAGGACGCAACCAACCAATGACACCCAGCAACTTCTGAGCATCATTTAAAGTTTTTATAGAATCTGTGAATTGCACCTCCTGATGTTGGATCGTTCGATCCAGGATCTTGACCCCTAAATACTTCCAGGGAGGCTGTCGCTGGACCTTTTCCAGAGCCACCTGAAGCCCATAACAGCGTAAAGCAGTGAGCAGCTGAGGTTCTATCCTCAGCAACTCATCCCGAGTAGGAGCTGCTACGAGGACGTCGTCCACGTAATGATAGAGATACGTGTTAGGGAACTGCTCACAAACTCCAGACAAGGCCTGAGCTACGTACCACTGACAAATGGTTGGACTGTTTCGACAGCCTTGAGGCAAAACCCTCCATTGATATCTCTGTCCAGGCTCTGAATTGTTCACTGTTGGTACTGTAAAAGCAAACTTCGGTCTGTCGTCAGGGCACAAGGGGATAGTAAAAAAACAGTCTTTCAAATCAATGACCAGAATGTCTCATCCAGCGGGAAGCATGGTGGGCGATGGCATCCCAGGCTGCAATGTCCCCATGCTCTCCATGACAGCATTTATCTTTCGGAGATCTTGTAACAATCTCCATTTCCCTGACTTTTTCTGTATCACAAAGACAGGGCTGTTCCAGGGACTGTTGGAAGATTCGAGGTGTCCCTGTTCTAATTGTTCTTGGACTAATTGGCGAAGGGCTAATAATTTTGTTTTTGGCAGGGACCACTGTGCTTGCCAGACCGGGGTATTAGTCAACCACCGGAGAGGCACTGTAGGATAATTCCTGCCCTTCATTTCAGTGGTCCCAATTACAAATTTGACTGAATGCGCACTCCCCAGGCAGCCAAAACATCCCGTCCCCAGAGGTTGATTTGAGCTGAGGTTATGTAGGGTCAGATGGTAGCCATCTGCCCTTCCAAATTCCTGATCAGCACAGGCCACTGATTTACAAAAGTCTGTGCTGCGCCTCCCACACCTTCAATGGCCTGGCCAAGAGGGGCCATGTGGGAGGCCAGGCAGAATAGGAAATCACAGTGCATCTGCCCCAGTATCGAGCAAACCTCTGAGCTGGATCTGGGGTGGGTTGGCAGTTGGCACCAACAAAGTGCACACCATCTGTGGGCGCTGGTCGGAGATATTAATTGTCCAAAAGACCTGTGGTGTATCCTGTGGAGCCGAAACCGCTGTCTTTCTGGTCTCGATGATCAGCCCTGGGAACATATGAGGGAAAAGGCACAAGTTGGGCGATGCGGGTTCCTGCCAGGATAGTGACAGGAGGACATGGAGTAGAAACCATGGCACAGATTTGTCCTGTGAAGTCAGCATCAATGACCCCTGGGTGGACAGATTCCCTGGATGGTGGCACTGGATCAACCCACGAGCAGTGCACTGAGCCCATGGCCCAGAGGACCAAAGGCATCCAGAGGGATCTTGTGCACACCGACAGAGTCTAGGACAACTGTGGCTGCGGTGTGCAGATCCACACCAGTGGAGCCCCTGGTGTGGGCTGCATGCTGACTGAGGAAACCTGTGCCAGTGAGGGGTTCTGGGGTGCTATTTGTGTCAGAGCACCACACGCCTGGGTGCTCGTCAGCCCATTTCTCTGGTCCGGCAGAGGCTTCTTTGTTCTGCACTGACTGGCATAATGTCCAGGTTTTTTGCATTTAGCACACAGAAAAGTAGGCATGTTAGCCTTCTGTTCCTGTGGCTTCTGCTTATTGTTATCATTATTTTTCCCATGCTTTTTCTGACCACCTCCTGACATGTTTTGATGATTCCACATGGCAGCCGCTAAAGTGGAGATCTCATGATCTATGGTTTCCACCTTAGCACATGCCTGGATCATCTCAGTCAAAGAAGGGTCCCCTGGCATAGCCTGGATGATTTTTAAACAATCAACATTAGCATTGTCCCTAGCCAGCTGTTTACATAACTGTCTTAGGGAATCATCCTCAAACTGCTTCTCCAAGGCAGCTGCAATTTTCTCAACAAATTGTAGGAAAGGTTCTCTGGGACCCTGTGTAATTTTCACATACTTTTGTCGTGGGGCAGCAGCTTCCATTGTTTTTAACATGGCTGTAAGCCCTATTTTCTGGCACTATTCTAGAATCAGGGGGTCCCAGGTGGCTTGCACGTCAGGGCTAGCAAATTGATGTCGACCCATCAAAGCATCCGTCCCCACAGCAAATCTAGGATCTGGCCGGGGTCGCTGCATATTCTCAGCAGCAGCCCTGTCAGCCATCTGTCTCCAGTTGTCCTCAAACAGTCTAAACTGGACAGGCTGGAACAGCACCTGGGCCAGATGCTTAATATCATAGGGTGCTAATAAATCGGTATTCAATACCCTAATAATTTGCATCACTTGTGCAGAACCAAGCCCATATTTTGCTACCTTGTCCTGTAAATCTTGGACAACACGCCAAGCTATGACGTCGTGCCTATCTGCCTGCCCTGAGCCAGGCACAGCCTTGAAGACAGGAAAGGCCTGAGGTCCCCCGGTCCCCCCAGGGACCGGGTTGAGCTCAGCTGGATCTACCTGAACACCTTCTTCCACCCGGAGAACACCACCCCCCGGCATTCCCAAACGTTCTAGTAAATCCCAGTCTCCTTGTTGCAATGCTTTGACTTTCACCGCCTCCCAGAAGCTGTGATGATTCTTGGGCCAGACTGTGACTGAACACGGGGGCAGGGTCCACAGGCTGCTCCGAGGGGAAGCTGAGGGACCAGCACAACGTCGACTGTCCGATGTGAGTCCTCGCCTTCGGAGGAGAGTCTGCTGTGCCTCTCCACTCGAGGCGCTGGGCTGGAGTGACGAGCGCAGTCCCTGTCCCATGGAGAATGGTGCAGCAGACACAGGCACAGATGCAGCGGCGCTTTGCATGGTCGGCGGAAGTAGATTTGTTGACGGAAATGCACAGAGTTCCGGCAGCAGTCCTGGTGCACCGGGGGGAGAACCCTGTGCTTCCGGGTGGGCGGGGTGCATCATAGGGGGGCGGCACGTCAGACGTCACAGCCCCGCCCATCGCCGGGGCGGGCTGCTGTGGCTCCACCTCCAGAGGCAGGCCAGGCTGCGACATCACCGAGGAGGGAGCGGGCAGCACCGCCTTCACCTCTGCAGCCGGCGCCACCTGCTAGGGGGGTGCATCACTGATATAATCATATTCTATTTTAATCACAGGTTTCAAGTTGGGGCAGCAGCGCTTCCCACAATTTTTCATCAAAATTAGGTCTTTTTGAGAGTATATTGGATTAATGTGAACAGCTTCCTTCTCCTGTGTTTCTTTTGGTGAGTCAGTATGCTTTGAATTTTTGGCTCGTTCTTCTCTTAGGGCAGCTTTTAACAAATGATTTTCATTCCTTTCTTCATCTAATTGTTTTTGCAAGATTTCGACTAAGTTTTGTAGAGAGTCTATAATTGTTCTTTCCTCACTTCTTCACTTAGAGCGAGTTTCTATAGCTGCCGTAAGACAAGCTCCCAAAACTGAGCAGAGTATGGTTTTATTTTTGCCCAGTTTGAACTCTGATTCATGTTGCAAAGAACATATTCTATCAATCACATTCTCCAGATTTAACCAATTATTGTTTGCCCATTCCTCCCCACCTTGGGATGGTCTGGCGCTATACTTAGTTAATAGAGCATAAAATGCAGCTTTATCTGTTACAGTGGAATTCTCAGTCAATTTGTGAAAGGATAACTAAAAACCACAACAGGGAGGTCTATTGCTTAAGTTACCACACACAACGAAGCAGCTTTCGCTGTGTGCCCCCCTTCGCTTCCCTGTGTGGGTGAAGAGACCAAACTACTTGGGAGGCACTCCTTAGTTACAAAACACCAGGTTGTCTCTTCGCTGCACCAAGTAGTCAAACATCATAAAACAACAACAACAACAACAACAACAGTGTCACGCCTTTTGCACCTGTTGGAGTCAGTAAGTCAGGAGTCTCTGATTTCTTCAGAGAGAAATCAGAGTGCAGGGATTGAATTAAAGTCTTTGAATGGAATGAGTAAGTGAATAGATGGAGTGAATAAGTAAGTAAGTTAAGGGAATAAGTTTTAAGTGCTTTTAGTGAGTAAAAGGTCTTAGATGCCTGAGAAGTAGTACATGTTCTAATGAAGGTTGAAAAACATACTAGTGTTTCCTTAGAGGCTCCAAGAACGTAGCTTCAGACATAATAAGAGTTAAGAATATTGCTTACATTTTTCAGTTAGAACAAGATAGGCCATGTACGTAGTCTATACGTAGTCTGGCGTGCTAAGAAACCAGAATTCTAATAGGTTAAGAAATCGTGGTCCGAGTTTGTCTTAGCTAGTTGGAAAGTTTCTATAAAAGAACATGCATCAGGGAGAGCTGGGGCTCTATGCCATGGCTTTATGCCATGTGCATTTTGCCATTGTATTTTGCCACTGCAGTTTTGCCATTGCTTTGCTTTGTTTTTGCTTTTGAGACTGATGTGCTTCTACAATAAATAACTTTGCAGCAACTATTAGCTGCTTTGCTTTTTACACGAAACGAGAATAAGCCCAACAGTGTGGGTGCCCAAGAGGCACCCGGAGGTTCTGCAAAACCTCACATGCACCAGGAGACCTTTTGTGAAATTCTGACTACAGAGCCCTCAAACAAGCCTGGGGATGCTTTACACCAAGGTGTCTGCAGTCTGCGGGAAATCAGAAAAAAACCCCTTGCTTTCTAGACAGGCTCACCCTTTCAAGGTAGCCAGCTAAGTGCAGCTGGAGTAAGACTTCCTTCCTCTGATACAGAGTACAGACAATCTTGCATCCCTTCTGTCTGCCAGAAAATCCTGTCTGTGACGCCAATTTAATGTCACGATCCGCTGTTAATACAGAGCTGGGGGCGTGATGGTTCGTATGATCTCAAAAGTGCAAACAGGCAAAATGCAGGGGACAAAATCAGTTTATTCAACAACAGCAATGAATTTTTATTAAATGCCAACAACTCAGTAGTGATAGAGGGGAGAGATATGGGAAACAAAGTATAGAGAGAGAAAAGGAAGGGGATGGGAAAATAGCTACCAACAAAGGAGACAGACGTCCTCATGGGCCAGCCAATAGACGAGTCTTCATCTGTGGGGAGTTCTCAAAGGGTCTTCCCCAGAGGATCGCTCTTTTATAGTCCTTCTCCAAAGCGAGTGGCTTCTGGCCAAGAGGTGGGGAGATTTATGGAGCATTGTGTGGTGCTGCGGGAGACAGGTGCAGTCGTGCAGTACATGCAGGTTTCAGCTGGTACAACACAATCTCTGGCTGGTGCCACAACAGCACAGTCCAGTGAACACACTACACCAGCACATAGTCACCTGACAAGCATCCATCTTGGCCAGGCCAGGAAACCATTGTCCAGAGTCAACCTGGGTGGGGGTCCTCGAGGTCTCCTTGCGACGGTCGAGAAGAAGAACGAGGGAAACTTTGGACCCTTACAGTCCCCCAAACCCTTACCTGGGACCCACAAAATCCTACCTGGATCCCCCACAATTCACCCTAAAATCCAGCTCGGATTCCCTTCAATCCCCCAAATTCTACCTGGAACCCCAGATTCCACCTGGGACCCTCCAAATGCCAAAACTTCACCCCAAAATTCACCTCGGGCCCCTGAAATTCACCTCAAAATTCACCTGGGAAACTCTAACTCCCCTAAATTCACCCCGAAGTCCCTCCTGGGACCCCCAAAATTCACCTCGTAACCTCCAAAATTCCTAAAATTCAACGCAAAATTCCACCTTAGATCCCCCAAATCCTCAGCTGGAACCCCCAAAGTTCCACAAAATCACCCCAAAAGTCACCTGGACTACCAAAATTCACCTGGTAACCTCCAGAATTCCACAAATTCACCCCAAAATTCCACTTGCACCTCCCAAATCCTCACCTGGAACACTCCAAAGTTCCACAAATTCACCCCAAAATTCACCTGGGACCCCCAAATCTACAGAGATCACCCAAAGTCCCACCTGGAAGCCCCAAATTCCCTCACATCTCCCTCAAAACACAGGACCCCCTAAAACCACCCAAATTCACCCCTAAATGCCTCCAATCTCCCTCCAAACCCACCCAGATACCCCAAAATCCACCAAACTCACCCCAAGACCCATCTGTGACTCCCACATCTCCCAAATTCTCCCCAGAATCAACCTGAGATCCCTCAAAACTCACCTGCATCTCCCAAAATCCCCTGCGCTCAAATTCACTTGGCAACCCCAAAATCCCCAGAATTCAGCCCAAAATTTACCTGGGACTCCCAAAATTCACCTGAGATCCCAAAACCTCCCGAATTCACTCCAAAATTCAACTGGGATCCCCAAAATCCTCATCTGGGACCCCCAAAATTCCACAAATTCCCCCCAAAATTCACCTGGGATCCCCAAATCCCTAGAGGTCACCCCAAAGCCCCACCTGGAAGCCCCCATATCCCTCAAATCTCTCCCAAAACCCAGTCCTCTCCAAAACCTCCCAAATTCCCCCTAAAAATGCAACCAATTCCCCTCAAAACCCACCCAGATACCCCCAAATCCACCAAATTCACTCCAAGACCCATCTGGGACTCCCAAATTCACCAAATTCACCGAAAACCCACCTGCATCCCCCCAAATTCATCCCACAATTCACCAGGACTCCCAAATGATCACCTGGGACCCCCAAAATTCCAGTAATTCACCCTAAAATTCAACTCGGGCTCCAAAAATTCCACAAATTCCCCCCAGAATTCACCCGGGAACCCCAAAGCTCCCAAATTCTTCCCATGATCAACCTGAGACCCCTGAAAACTCACCTGCATTTCCCAAAATCTGCCCCACCCCACCCCCAAAAATACTTGACAACCCCAAAATCCTCAGAATTCAGCCCAAAGTTCACCTGGGACCCCAAAATTCACCTGGGAGCCCAAAACCTCCCAAATTCACTCCAAAATTCAACTGGGATCCTCAAAATCCTCATCTGGGACTCCCCAAAATTCCACAAATTCCCCCCCAAATTTCACCTTGAAGTTCTCAAAATCCACCAGGGACCTCTAAGATCTCACAACCCCCCCCCCCCAAATCCACCTGGGACTCCCAAATCCTATCCTGGCAACCCCAAAAGTCAAACCAAAACCCATCTGGGAACCCCCCAAATCCCTCAAATCTCCCTCTAAACCCACCCAGACTCCCAAAACCCACCTGGCACTCCCCAAATTCCCCGCAAAATCCACCCAGGTGCTCCCAACCCCCCCCATTCACCCCCAAACCCACCCGAGAACCCCCAAAGCACCCCAGAAAACCCCTCAGGGACCCCCATAACCCCCCCCGGAACCCCCCCCCCCCGAATCCCTCAAATCCCCCGAAAATGGCTCCAATCCTCAACATAGTCCATCAGGGATACCCCCCCAGAATCCCTCCAATTCACCCTAAGTCCCCCAGATTCATCCCCAAACCCATCCCAGACACCCCAAAATCACTCAAATCCCCCTCAAAACCCACCTGGGTTCCCCCAAAACCCCTCCAACCGCTGCCCTGCTTGCTCTTGGCCGCCATTTTGCGCCCTTCTTTCCTCGCGGCCGCCGCGCTCTGATTGGCCGCGCACCGTGAGGTACGCAGCGCTCTCATTGGCTGAGCGTTTCCCGCCCTTTCCATACCGCTCGCTGATTGACCAGTGTCCGTTGCCGAGGCCAGACCGTGAGCTGATTGGCTGACCGGGAAAGAACAGGGTGGGGAAAAGGGCGGGCTATTCTCAGGCAGTCGGCGTCGTGATTGGCTGAAAGGCGGCAAAGGGGGAGGAGCTACCGAGATGATCAAAGGGGCGCCGAGGCTCCCGCAACCCTCAGTCCAGCGCTAGCAGCGGTCGAGCTTGGTCGGGTCTTGCGCAGTTTCAACCATTCATTCCTTCATTCAGTTAATTTAATGAACCTCATTAGTGGCGGTGGGCTGGCGGCGCTCAATTAAAGCGCTACTTGGCGCCGCGGTGGGTGACCCGAGGCTGTTTTGGCTTTTAAAATTAGAAACCCGGCCATGGAGGGGGGAAGGGGGAGGTTTCAAGCGCTTTTCAGTTGAATTATTAAGCTGTTCTTCAAATTTCACCTTCAACACCCTTCTAAAACCCCTCAAGGATCCTCCAAAATTCCTCCAATTCCTCCAAAATCCACCTGGGATCCCCCAAACTAACCACAAAACCCACCTGGGAACCTCCAAAACTCCTGAACTTGTCAATAAAACCCCTCAGAGACCTCCCTAGACCCACCTGGGATCCCCCGAAATCCCTCCATCTTCAACAAAAACAAACAAAAACAAAAAATCCAACAAAATTTTGGGGATCCCTCAAATTCACCCCGAAACCCATCTGCGACCCTCCACCAACATCGCTCCCATGCCCCCAAAATCCATCCAGGAGCCCTCAAAATCTTGCTAAGCCCTCTCAAAACCCTGCAATTTCACCCCACAACCCATCCAGGAACTCCCAAAATCCCTCAAGTCCTCCCAAAACCCACGCAGATGCCCCCAAATCCCCCAAATTCACCTCCAAATCCACCCAGGACCCCCAAAATCCCACCACTTCATTCCAAAGTTCACTTGGGACCCACAAAACTCACATGAGACCCCCAAAATTTCCCGCAAAACCTCCAAAATTCACCCCAAAATCCCACCTTGCTTCCACCAAACCCTTACCTGGGACCCACAAAATCCCACCTGGATCCCCCAAATTCACCCCAAAATTCCACCTGGAACCCCAGATTCCACCTGGGACCCTCCAAATGCCAAAACTTCACCCCAAAATTCACCTCGGACCCCCGAAATTCACCGCAATAAAATAAAATAATAAATAAGAGGAGTCTGGATAGAAATCTAACGTTGCTACGTTTGAATATCCATCCTGAACACAAGAAACATTTTTGGGTGCAATTCATTACGATCTTTACAGGGAGGTTTTTTACGGTGGATGTAGGAACGAGGTAGATGACAGTTAGTTCCTTATCGGGCAGTAAACAGTTGGCCTTGAACAACAACAATCTCAGGTTTATTTTCATTGCCAAGATGGCTGTAAATAAAAGAAAGCCCAGTAGTATGGATATT